CCAGCCTCTGCTTCCCCTGCCCTGAGCCGAGGGGGGTCCCTGGGGTGCTCCTCTCCCCGGGGGGAGAGCTCAACCCCTCGTCCCAGGCTGCCCCGGGCCCTCGGTGCCCCCATCCCTCTGGGACCTGCTGCCCGGTCCCAGCCTGGGCTGGGGGCTCAGCAGCGCTTCTCAAAGCTGCGGCATCGTGGTGGGATGGTCAGAAGAGACCCCATCCCCTTCCCACCCACCTTCTCCCCACTGGGGTAACGGAGGCTCAGGGCTATCACCTGTGGGAACCTCTGCCCCTGCTGAGCTCTCCCCGGGGGCAGCTGGAGGGAGGGTAGGTGTGGGGGAGCCATGGAGCATCCCCTGGACTGGCATCTCCCTCCCAGATCGACCTGATCCACCTGGGAGCCAAGTTCTCCCCCTGCATCCGGAAGGATCAGCAGGTGGAGCAGCTCATCCAGCGCGAGCGGGACCGGGAGCGCGGCTCTGGCTGCTGCGTCCAGAATGACAACTCGGGCTACATCCAGACCCTGCCACAGGACTGTTCGCTGCGTGCCGCCACTGCCGCGGGCACCGGGAAGCGCTGGGGATCCCTGGGGAAAAGGGGGAAACCATCTCTGCCCTGCACGACCCCAGGGCAGGATGCTTGTGGTGTCAGAGCGGTGCATTTGCTGCCGCATCCTCAATCTCTTCATCTTCCCCAGGAGACACTGGCGACGTTCATCAAGTGGCCGGGCAGCAACGCGCCAGCCGTGGGCTCGGGTGAGAAGCGGACGTCGGGGGCTGTGTGTCACCAGGACCCCAGGTAGGAGTGACGGCTGGGGAGAGGTACTGCTGTCACCCAGCTGTATGCAGGGCACAGCGGAGGTGCTGCGTGGGGCTGTGTTTCCAGGTTGGATGCCTTCAATACTCTTGTCCAAGGGGCTGTGGGGGGCTCTTCCACGCCGTAGGAGAGCGATAAGGAAGAGGGAATCAGTGGGGAAACTGAGGTGGGGTTTGTCCTAAATGTAGGTAGCAATGGGTGATGCCGTTGTCTTGCACTGGCCCCTGCCTGCCCTGCTCTGCTGGGATGGGTGATGCTGCAAGGGGGCATCGATGGGGTCGTCCGACAGACGTGAGTGCCGTGGGGTTCGCCTGCGGAAGGTGCTGCTGTGGGGTGTTGTAGGACACCAACGTGCAGGATCCCTCCCAAGCCAGGGAAGGGGGCAGGTCCCGGGGCCGTCTGTGCCCCAGGGGGGTTACTAGTCTGCAGGGAGGGATGCGCTGCGGAGGGGGCAGGTCCCGGGGCCGTCTGTGCCCCAGGGGGGTTACTAGTCTTGCAGGGAGGGATGCGCTGCGGGGGACCCGTCCTGACCCCAACCCCCACCTCCTCCCACCAGGACGTGTGAGGAGCCGGCGTCCAACCCACCCCACGTGTGGCCGGATGACATCACCAAGTGGCCGGTAAGAGCCCTGTGCCACTGGGAGCTGGGTGGCACTGTGGTGGCAGCCTCCGTGGGAGGCGTGGCGGGCGACAAGCCAGGCACGGGGGGCTGCGGGCAGAGCCTGGGGCCAGACCCTGACCTTGGCTCCTCTCCCTCCTGCTTGTAGATCTGCACCTACGAGACCAAAACCAACCACTCGGGCTTCGCCCACATGGACTGCCAGATCAAGGGCAGGCCCTGCTGCATCGGCACCAAGGGCAGGTGGGTCGCAGCGATGGGGACACCCAGCCCGGGCTCGGCTCCCCCCTCTGCCCCACTGCCTGTCGTTGCCCTGTCGGTGTCCGGAGCTGTGCTGGGGGGAGAGGGAGGTTACAGAGCCTCGGGGGGGTGGGAAGCATGGTGGCGGCAGGACCGTCTGCCAGGAGCGGAGGGGGATGCTCAGGGGAACAGGGAGTGAGCCCTGCCCCGAGCGAGCCCGCTGCCTGCCCTTTGCTCAGCTGCGAGATCACGACGCGGGAGTACTGCGAGTTCATGCACGGCTACTTCCACGAGGAGGCAACGCTCTGCTCGCAGGTGGGC